TTTCTTGCGTCGGAAGCAGGGGGTTCTCGACGCCCTGGACCCCCTGTAGCACGACCCTGACAATTAATTAAATACAAAATTGTTTCAAAAAACAATTTATCTAGTTAAAAAAAAAAGTTCTGACATCATTTGAAAATAGAGAAAGTGTTTGAAGCTTTTTTGTCTTTATCTGTCTTTGTTTAAAAAAAGGCTCAGTTTCAGAATTGCTCGGAATTGGGATAGATTACGATCACGCAATTGGAAATGTCTCTTGGACTTATGCTGTACCTTGATCTTTGTTTTCATTTATGTCATGTTAGAGAAAAGGCCCTCGAAAAAAAATGTCTTTGGAAAAAATGTGGACCTTTTAAAATTTTGGGGGGGTCGTACGACCCTCACGACCCTCCCCCCCCCTGCATACACCCATGGGGTAGTAACCAGACCTGTACCTCTGCCATACGTTCAGTCACTTAAACACCACAAATTGTTGTGTGTTGATAACCATTTTGTACCCCCCTACATTGAGAACTCTATGCAGCGCTATTTCAACATAATACACATACAGACACATAACAGACTTTTGGTGGGCGATTTTAACCACTTTTATGAGGCGCGATGATGCGCGCACCATGCCACAATTTCGGGTGCGCGGTGGAGCGCGAGCGCGATCGCGCCCCTTAAAAATGAAAGCCTGAACACCTATATAGCTCTTTAGATTTTGGTTGAGAGACGCTGCCGCCAGGGAATATAGTAAAATCGATGGAAGGATGGGAAATTGGGACAGTGAGGGACAGGGAAAATATAACTAGTCCGCAGGACTAACGGCTATGGGGCATTTACTAGTCCTTGTGATTTTTTACTAGTCTCGGAGTAACGGACTAGCGTTAGTGTCGAACCCTGACAAGTGTTTGGTAATGTAGGCAAGATGTTAATAAAGTGACGGCTTTAGGTAGGCCTATTTCTTTGATTTTCTATGTAACACGGTCGTAAATAGTGAAAAGGTTGTCGTGCATTTTGCACGACATAATTCACAGGTTTTGTCTATGGAAGGGTATTGGGCCCTAAAATAACATCAGAATATAAAATTTTTTAGGGCACAATTTATTGGTCTAACTCTAAGTTGCTAGCAGTAGCAGTAGTAGTCCGAGCCGACACAGACCCCAGTAATGGTATATCCCCGATAAACCCGTACCCTCAGGTTAGCAAAGCGGAGTTATAACGTCTGCATTTGCGGACTATAGCAGTAGCAGAAGTTAGTGACAGTCAGTAGATGTCAGTAAATAATTTGACTAATGTCAGTAATGTCTATTATGAGGGCCCATGTCTAAACATTAGTTGTTAACTAATGCCGTATGGCAATGCGACCAAGTTGCGGCAAAGTGATGACGGCTGACGTAGAGAAAAATGAAGTATTAACATTTATCCCTACTCGCAACTCATATATACGGACAGAATTTCCATAATTATTCCTCACACTCTATACATGTCACAGAACTGTGATTTCCATATGGAGGCAGCCATTTCCAGCTCTTGTTAATCACGTGACATGCTCTGGGCGTGTCGGAATAAACCCAGGCAGTATAATTGATAACCCGGTATTTATATATATGGACTCATACGCGTGTGGAGGCTCTTTTTCTATCAATTATCTGATCCTGTCCAGTCTAAACGTTTCTCGTTGTGGTTTTAGCCGTCCATGCGGTTGTCGAATTTCGTCTGCTTTTATACAGGTTAGGATGCTAAAAGTGTATTGAATCCATTCGTAAAATGCTGTAATTATTTCAGAAATGAGTTCCGAGCTGGGAAATGAACCTCTGCTTGACCTCGACGAATTGAGGCGGGAGGTGGAACGGTTAACAGCCGAGTTAACTGAAACAAGCCAACAGAAGGCACAGGCCGCCCAATTCGGTTTGGTTCTGTTGGAAGAGAAGGAACAGCTTCGAACCCGAATAGACGATCTCGAATTACAATATGAAAACGTCAAGCATGAACTTGACTGCGCGAAAGAGGTCAGTATAATCTAATAATACGTAGAACTATGATTACGAAACATTCTACCAAAAGTTGCAATGGTATTAACGCGTGGCAGTGCCGTGGGTTTTAGTTTAGCACCCGGGACATTGAACTGCGTCATAAAGCAACGAATAGCAAAGGCACACTAACCGGCTAGCGTAACGGCGCCAATCATTTATAATATTCCTAACAGTATGCTGAAATGTTATTTCCATTGAGGGTTCAACTCATTTTTCCCGAGCCCCTTCCTTTTCTCGATAATCAGTGCTTATTTAGAGTTACTTTGAAGGAATAGTTGCGCTGATAGGGTCTATGTCCCCCAGGGTACTGCCGGAACGTACCCTGGTATTAAATACTACTATCTAATATGCCGGACCGTACCTCGCCTACTCCACTAACGAGTCTAGGGAGTCGCATACGCCTACTCCCTAATCCTAACCCTAACCCTAACTCTAACCCTAACACTAACCCTAACCATATCATCTAGATAGTTACCAGGGTACGTTCCGGTATACCGGACCATACCCAGGGTACGTTCCGGCAGTACCCTGGGGGACATAGACCCTATCAGCAATAGTTGCATCTCGACATCTGCACTGTGTTCGTATCAAGGATATAAGAGCCGTCCCCAATTCATTTTCGGAATGTGCATTGTGCGACATGTGCAAATGTGGACAGCTTGTATATCCTTGGGCCCTGTGTTCTGGTAAGGAGGGAAACGAGCCCATTTCTGCATGCCAGTTTGGCTGAGAGGGTCTATGTCCCCTGGGGTACTGCCGGAACTTACCCTGGGTACGGTCCGGTATACCGGAACGTACCCTGGTACTATATTATATGCCGGACCGTACCTCGCCTACTCGACTAACGAGTCTAGGGAGTCGCCTACGCCTACTCCCTAACCCGAACCCGAACCCTAACCCTAACCCTAACCTTAACCCTAATCCTAACCCTAACCATATCAAATTGTTACTAGGGTACGTTCCGGTATACCGGACCGTACCCAGGGTACGTTCCGGCAGTACCCTGGGGGACATAGACCCTATGAGCGCCAGTTTGTAATGTGAATTGGAGCCGAATACCTCCAGTCATCACCTTACTTTCTGGGGCAGCTCGACAGCCCTCTACTTGCTGCAAAGATAGTATCTCTGGGCTTGGAATCTATGCCCTCAAAATTTAGAAGACTGAAGTGTCAAACCAAGGCAAGGATAATAATTATTAACTGAAAGCCCATAAATTAATTTGTATTTATTGTTTTTGAATTATTTGTTATGTATCCTGCTGTGGTTACAGAGAGTGGTGGACTCCTGCTTAGCCCAGATCAGGGAGTACGAAAGTACAGTGGTGCATTTGAATCTGGCCTCACAATAATTTACACCCGCTGATCCATTTCATGAAACAATTTTTTGTAAGCAGGTGCAAAATTCCCTCTATCAATATAGCCTATATTGCTCTGCATTACATGGTAAAGGGAACCTGTAATGATTGATAGAGCTAGTGCAAAGTGTCATTAGATGGATTGAATCTGAGCACCATTACTTTGTATTTACGCACATGTGACACTATGCTCCAGTGAAAACATATGGTAGAGGAACAATAGGTTGCAGCTCTCTATTCACACATAAGCCCCTGGGTTGTGAACATATGGCTCCTCAGCCATATGGTGTCTTTCATAAATGTGTGTCATATATGTGTGTGGGTCACCAGAAGGCTGGCTGTCGTACAGCCCACCCTACCCAAACACGTGCTCCCCAGTAGTGCCATACACACATATATCTAAGAAATATACCCAAGCAGTTTTTCTGTAGCAGTACACTTCCCAACTATAGATCCAAGCCCAACTCAAGAATATCGCTATTAGTTCTATAGTTCACAAATATATCCAAGGCATAACTCAAGCTTCTTTGTGATATGTGTACAGTTTTAAAACAGGACAACTGCCATATAAGCTAATTGGATAAACCTTTTATTGCTCGATTGTTACTTCAAACGTGGATATGTGAGGAATTTCTGCTTGTGTGATGGTAAAGGTATTTGTCGGTGGGTGAGGAGCTAGAAAGCTGGCTGCGTGTCTGTAGGAACTGCCACCGAATGTGCAGTGCATTCTAACACGGCTGTGGGAAGTTTATGGCAGTAGACTTGAACACTCACTAGTCACAGACACGTTAGATTGCATGGATGGATACATACATACATGTATGTTTGCGAATGGTTAACGTATTTTAACTCTCATTATCAGCGAGGTTTTGAGCGCTGTATAACTGGTTCGGCGTTATACGGGAAAGACCGTATAAAACAAGTTTTTGGTGTGAAACGTGTACAGTATGCGTACGAATGGACGCAGATACATGCGATGTCATTGTCAGCATTTGCACATGTATGATGAAATCCTAGTTGGTCTCGCCACGTTATCCATGTGCGATGTATTGATCAGGCCGTACTAATTAATAAGCCATCAGTGGATGCGCTCACAGGATGAGAGACCACAATGTCTGTGTATTCCGTAATTTGTTTACTGTATATATGCACGATTACTCGCGCAATTAATTAATGCTCGTACATGCTGCGGGTGTTTTGGTCAGACCGACCCTAATAAGCAATCGGCAGGTTCACAGGATTAGAATCTGTGATGTTGCAGATTCTCTATTGTGTTCTGCATGTATACGGTCACTGACGTGTGCACGTGTGTGGCGGATAAAATATGGATTTCCTAATTAATCAATTCGAACCTACTCTCGCAGGTGGTAATTACTAGGGGTTCCTTTACACCTCTGCCCGTGCTCACAGAAAGGTCGGCTAATTGTAATCGATCTTCGAGGTCTTATTAATATTTTAAACGGATTAAGAATTTTTAACAATCGCCTCTGTGTTAACACGCAGGGATGTGTTTGCTCACGTTCTTTTGGCCCCGTAAAAGTGGAGACGCAACGGTCACGATTGATAAGCTGTTCTGCATTCATGAGGTCTCTGCTACTGCCAGCGAGGAAGACAGCTGCGCGATATAATAACTTGCGAGCAAATACACCAGAGTGCCGGTAACATGCTGCGGTGATGCAAGTGTTCCTTCTAAGTCGTGGTACCACTCCCAGAAGAAAAAATGAAACTGTTTACGAATTGAGTTGTTCCATTGTAGAAGGTGGGTAGGGCTGGGCAGCACTGCCATGCATGGTTAGGGATCATAGGTTTTTATTTCACATTCCATCTAACATTCAGATTAAGGGGGGGGGAGTGCCCTTTCACCCTAACGGCTGCTGAGTTTTAACATGGGTTTGTCTAGTAATTTACCCGTGCAATTTTGCTCACTAAAAACTGATCAATTGGTTCATATTCAGTAAAACATCTTTTCACCCGAATATACGTTCCTTTCAAATGAAACATGACGTGTTATCTTAAATAGTTAATGGCAAATTCGCTCCGTTTCACATTTCTGTAATCTTACTCTCACTCTCACGTCGGGTTATATGGTTTTTGCGGGTATAATCGTAATGAAGTTGAAATATAGTGGCTACAGCTTAAACAGTCATTAACCTACATGTGTCAGATTTCATGTAGATGGACATGTCAAATTACCAATAAGCGAATATGTATGTAGTTGCACTAGTGATTGAATTCCCTCGGGACTTATCAGGGTAAGTAGCACTTGGTGTACAAGTGCTACGTTGTGGTATTAGCCTATTAGGGGGCGTGGGTCAGGTTGCCACCAGTTGAGGATGGAGACTGAAAGAGCGAGATAGCCAAAGTTCAACTGCGAGAAATCGTGGGATATATCCTGTTTAGTCCAGCCTCCAATGACGCTGCTGCGGTCATAGCTTGCGGGAAACCCCACCTATCTACCGTGAGACCTTCACCTCGAGTGATTAGCGTTTTGCCGTGATAAAAAAATTCTCTCTCTCTCTCGCTCGCTCTCTCTCGCTCGCTCTCTCTCGCTCGCTCTCTCTCGCTCTCTCTCTC